GATTGTACTGGACTGTGCCAGGGGATTGTGGTGATTGTACTGGACTGTGTCAGGGGATTGTGGTGATTGTACTGGACTGTGTCAGGGGATTGTGGTGATTGTACTGGACTGTGCCAGGGGATTGTGGTGATTGTACTGGACTGTGCCAGGGGATTGTGGTGATTGTACTGGACTGTGTCAGGGGATTGTGGTGATTGTACTGGACTGTGTCAGGGGATTGTGGTGATTTTACTGGACTGTGCCAGGGGATTGTGGTGATTGTACTGGACTGTGTCAGGGGATTGTGGTGATTGTACTGGACTGTGCCAGGGGATTGTGGTGACTGTACTGGACTGTGCCAGGGGATTGTGGTGATTGTACTGGACTGTGCCAGAGGATTGTGGTGATTGTACTGGACTGTGCCAGGGGATTGTGGTGATTGTACTGGACTGTGTCAGGGGATTGTGGTGATTGTACTGGACTGTGTCAGGGGATTGTGGTGATTGTACTGGACTGTGCCAGGGGATTGTGGTGATTGTACTGGACTGTGCCAGGGGATTGTGGTGATTGTACTGGACTGTGCCAGGGGATTGTGGTGATTGTACTGGACTGTGCCAGGGGATTGTGGTGATTGTACTGGACTGTGTCAGGGGATTGTGGTGATTGTACTGGACTTTGCCAGGGGATTGCGGTGATTGTACTGGACTGTGCCAGGGGATTGTGGTGATTGTACTGGACTGTGTCAGGGGATTGTGGTGATTGTACTGGACTGTGTCAGGGGATTGTGGTGATTGTACTGGACTGTGTCAGGGGATTGTGGTGACTGTACTGGACTGTGCCAGGGGATTGTGGTGATTGTACTGGACTGTGCCAGGGGATTGTGGTGACTGTACTGGACTGTGCCAGGGGATTGTGGTGATTGTACTGGACTGTGCCAGGGGATTGCGGTGATTGTACTGGACTGTGCCAGGGGATTGTGGTGATTGTACTGGACTGTGTCAGGGGATTGTGGTGATTGTACTGGACTGTGTCAGGGGATTGTGGTGATTGTACTGGACTGTGTCAGGGGATTGTGGTGACTGTACTGGACTGTGCCAGGGGATTGTGGTGATTGTACTGGACTGTGCCAGGGGATTGTGGTGACTGTACTGGACTGTGCCAGGGGATTGTGGTGATTGTACTGGACTGTGTCAGGGGATTGTGGTGATTGTACTGGACTGTGTCAGGGGATTGTGGTGATTGTACTGGACTGTGCCAGGGGATTGTGGTGATTGTACTGGACTGTGCCAGGGGATTGTGGTGACTGTACTGGACTGTGCCAGGGGATTGTGGTGATTGTACTGGACTGTGTCAGGGGATTGTGGTGATTGTACTGGACTGTGTCAGGGGATTGTGGTGATTGTACTGGACTGTGCCAGGGGATTGTGGTGATTGTACTGGACTGTGTCAGGGGATTGTGGTGACTGTACTGGACTGTGCCAGGGGATTGTGGTGATTGTACTGGACTGTGCCAGGGGATTGTGGTGATTGTACTGGACTGTGCCAGGGGATTGTGGTGATTGTACTGGACTGTGCCAGGGGATTGTGGTGATTGTACTGGACTGTGCCAGAGGATTGTGGTGATTGTACTGGACTGTGCCAGGGGATTGTGGTGATTGTACTGGACTGTACCAGGGGATTGTGGTGATTGTACTGGACTGTGTCAGGGGATTGTGGTGACTGTACTGGACTGTGTCAGGGGATTGTGGTGATTGTACTGGACTGTGTCAGGGGATTGTGGTGATTGTACTGGACTGTGTCAGGGGATTGTGGTGATTGTACTGGACTGTGCCAGGGGATTGTGGTGATTGTACTGGACTGTGTCAGGGGATTGTGGTGATTGTACTGGACTGTGCCAGGGGATTGTGGTGATTGTACTGGACTGTGCCAGGGGAGTGTGGTGATTGTACTGGACTGTGTCAGGGGATTGTGGTGATTGTACTGGACTGTGCCAGGGGATTGTGGTGATTGTACTGGACTGTGCCAGGGGATTGTGGTGATTGTACTGGACTATGTCAGGGGATTGTGGTGATTGTATTGGACTGTGCCAATGGATTGTGCTGATTGTACTGGACTGTGCCAGGGGATTGTGGTGATTGTACTGGACTGTGCCAGGGGATTGTGGTGATTGTACTGGACTGTGTCAGGGGATTGTGGTGATTGTACTGGACTGTGCCAGGGGATTGTGGTGATTGTACTGGACTGTGCCGGGGGATTGTGCTGATTGTACTGGACTGTGCCAGGGGATTGTGGTGATTGTACTGGACTGTGCCAGGGGATTGTGGTGATTGTACTGGACTGTGTCAGGGGATTGTGGTGATTGTACTGGACTGTGCCGGGGGATTGTGGTAATTGTACTGGACTGTGCCGGGGGGGGGGGGGGGGGGATTGTGCTGGTGACTGTGGGGGACTGTGTTGGAGGTGGTTGAGCAGTGGAAAATATGTGGCACTGCTCTCCTAGCTGCTGAACAATGTTAATCCAATGGTACGTGATGATTCAGATGATGGATGTGTGCTCTGATCCCTTCATGTCAAAGTTTCAGGGAACACAAGCAGGAAGTGTAGGTAGAACAGACCAGCACAATAGCTGACAAGTGGTTTGGTTATCCTCCATCATGGCAAGGTGACCATGCCAGTTAATAGAGAGGTTTTGCAGAGCGAACGTTCGCGCGAATTTTCGTTTGACGTCACGAAAAGCGAAACTTCGTGCGAACGTTCGCAGTTTTGAACGCGAAAGTTGCAGGAAACGCGAAACAAACTTTCGCAGTAATTTTCGCTCTTTGTGGACCGCTGGTCAGCCTGGTGCACGGTGAGCGACCCTCACTCTTCATGTTTGTGCTGGATCTCTACTCTTGGCTTGGTCCGCGAGTGCTAGCTTTCCGATACTTTTGGCAGCCCGTGTTGTTTCATCTCCAGAACCATCTCCGATCTACCTGCTCGCTCGTCTTCTCACTGCTCAGAATCGGTTACATCAACGATGCCTTTTTGAATCTCAAGTGTTGATGCGCAAGGTTACGGCACAAGCCAACCCGGCCCGTTTGTCTGTGGGTCTCCGGCCATGGACAACGTAGTCAAAGAGCTCTCGTCTCAGGCCGTGACTCAGGGTACCTGGTGCGCGTGCCGCCACTCGCAACAAACAAATAATCGGATGGAGAACACTTCTAAAAAACAAGCGAGTGCACACGAAATTTTCTTGGAGCGAGAAACATGCAAACGTTCGCAGTAATGTTCGCTCTTTGTGGACTGTTCGTGCGCGGTGAGCCACCCTCAATCCTCATGTTTGTGCTTGATCTCTACTCTTGGCTTGGTCCGCGGGTGCTAGCTTTCCTATACTTGTGGCAGCCCGTGTTGCTTCATCTCCGGAACCATCCCCGATCTCCTGCCTGCTCGTCTTCTCACTGCTCAGAGTCGGTTACATCCGTGAACGCGCGATGCCTTTTTTGAATTTCAGGTGTTCATGCGCCAGATTACGGCACAAGCCAACCCGTTTGTCTGTGAGTCTCCGGCCATGGACAAGGTAGTCAAAGAGCTCTCGTCTCAGGCCATGACTCAGGGTGCCGTCACTCGCAACAACAAAATAATTGGATGAAGAAGTCTTCTCAAACAAGCGAGTGCACGCGAAAATTCCTGGGAGCGAAAAACATGCAAAACACAAATTTCGCGCGAACGTTCGCAATAGTTTTCGCAACCCAGAACGCGAAAATCATTGCGAACGTTCGCTCTGCAAAACCTCTCTAATACCACAACTATCAGTGGAATGAAAATGCCCGGAAACAGACAGACAGACAGGCAGACACACATACACACACACACACACACACACACACACACACACACACACACATAGACAGACACGCAGGCGAACAAACAGACAGACACGCAGACAGACAGACAGACAGACACACACACACAGATACACACACACACACACATTGGTCCTTGGTCCTTGGTAACACTGCCATCAAATGGTAACGTGTCCCCTGTGCAGGGGTCGACAGCACTGAGTTCAGCATCGGATCCAGAAACGCCGCTCTACTTCCTGGACCGGAAATTTGCACAGCTATGCAGGTCGAAACCACGGGATGACTTGCAGCAGCGACCGCAGCCGAGACAATGCGCTCTCGCACACACACACACACACACACACACACACACACACACACACACACACACACACACACACACACAACCCCACACAATTTCACACTTACCGTCTCTAGGCTGACGGTCAGCAGGAAGCAGTACAGTCATCTCCCTGTACAAAACTTCATACTTCAGGTCTTGAATAGCTGTACATAGCTTTTCGTATGTGTCCATCCCTCCAGCTTGAATGTACATGATGACCTTGACATGATGGTGCTCCACTGGCTCATACTTCTCCAGGCGTATTAATTCCACGATTTCACTAACACTCTGTAGCAGACCTTGTCTCTGAACACTGCCGCGAAACCTTGAACAAGGTATTGTGCATAACTTCGGCAGGATTTGAGCAGTGAAAGTGGCTGTTTCGAAAGGATTATCTA